GGGAGAGGGAGAAGCAGGCTTCCTGCTGAGCAGGGAGCCCGATGCGGGGCTCCATCCCAGGACCCTGGGATCATGACCTGAGCCCAGGACCCTGGGATCATGACCTGAGCCCAAGGCAGACGCTTAACAACTGAGCCACCCAGGCGCCCCTGGAGGGATCCTGCTTTTTTAAAACAACTTTACTGAGATATAATTTACATACCATTAAATTCACCCATTTTAATTGTATGATTCAAAGATTTTTAATAAGTTGTGCATCATCACCATAATCTAGTTTAGAACATTTCCAGCACTGTAGGTGCTCTTTACTTTTCTTCATACTGGTTAATCTACTTTGGGAGAGACTTTTTTTTTAGAAAGACAAATTCATATTACTTTCCTAGGAAATTTAAGCAAAACTGTAAAGTAGTACAATTTAAGGTAAAACTGAAAAGTAATATAATTTAACAAGAATAAAAATTATTTAAGCTCTTTGACTCAGTATTGTTTAGGATTTCAGGACTGTTTTCTAAGACAATCATTGGAATTACAAACAAAGATTTATATGTAAGGGTGTACATCATAGCTTTTTTTTTCTTAAAGATTTATTTATTTGAGAGAAGAGGGGGAGCACAAAGGGAGAGGGAGAGACAATCTTCAGCAGACTCCCCTGGAGCCCAAGAGTCAGACACATAACCAGTTGAGCTACCCAGATACCCCCATAGCTTTGTGGGTTTTTTTTTTTTTTTAAGATTTTATTTATTTATTTATCAGACAGAGAGAGAGCATGCAAGCTAGCACAAGAAGGGAGAGCAGCAGGTAGAGGGAGAAGCAGTCTCCCCACTAAGCAAGGAGCCTGATGTGGGACTCGATCCCAGGACCCTGGGATCACGACCTGAGCCGAAGGCAGATGCTTAACCAACTGAGCCACCCAGGCATACCTATAGCTTTGTTACTGATACCAAAATTTAGAAGTAATTTGATTACCCAACAATAGAAACAGTTCATTTATGATACATATCTAAGATAGCCTCTATTAAAAATGTTTTCCAAGAATAATTAATGATTTAATGCTAAAGACAAAATGCTGACATAAAATGCAAGATAGGTATTGTGAATATGGTATAATTTCAATTTTGATAATAACATAGTCCATCACAGTACATACACACAGAAAAAAAGCCTGGAAGAAAAGGCAAAAGAAGTTGTTAACATGGCCTCTAGGTTTTGAGATTATTTTGCTGCTGTTATGCAGTTCTGAATTTTCCAAATTTTCTAAGATGAGCATGAATGACTTTTCTATTAGAAAACTTTTTTTTAAAGATTTTATTTATTTGAGAGAGAGAATGGGAGACAGAGAGCATGAGAGGGTCCGGGAGAGTCAGAGGGAGAAGCAGACTCCGCGCTGAGCAGGGAGCCCGATGCCGGGCTCGATCCCAGGACTCCAGGATCATGACCTGAGCCAAAGGCAGGCACTTAACCGACTGAGCCACCAACTGGGTGGCTCAGGTCATGATCCCAGTGTCCTGGGATCAAGCCCCGCATGAGGCTCCCTGCTCAGCGGAGAGCCTGCTTCTCCCTCTCCCTCTGCCTGCCGCTCGGCCTACTTGTGCTCTCTCTGTCAAATAAATAAATAAAATCTTAAAAAAAAAAAACCATTTTTTAAAAGACCAGGTCAGAGGACTTAAGAACACACCCAGGACAGATCTAGAGAGGTGGATCTGAGTATCCATTCCCACTTCAGCCTTCCTTGCCCAACATAGGCAGGGTACATTACATAGAGACTGTCCTGAACGTTGTTAAAGATTCATTAGAGTTTTAGTGTTTTGTTTGTTTTTTTACTGTCAATAATTAAAAACAAGATAGATCAATTAATCTAAATAACAGTGTGATACCTTTCATGGTATCCATCAGCATCTCTCTCATCTATAAACCCTGGTAAGTATGAATCAATTCAAATGTAAAGGACAATCAATACATAGGAAATTAGAAGTATTAATGCTATGGAAAGGCAGAGTTAGATCAAGAGACTTCAATTTAACCAGACATCATAAGAAAAAAAAAATGTGAACCCCTAATTTGTTCATTTACTGAACAGATAATTTAGGTCCTAAGTGTGGGGTGGGGATAGGGAGAAGTGTCCCAGGGGAAGGCACAGCACGTGTGAAGGCCCTAAGGACCCAACTTGGAGTTTTGCCAACCTGGAGAAAAAGCCAGTGTGACAAGGGCAGAGTGAGAGAGGTGCAGGAGGAGGCTGTGGAGAGAGGCCAGGCCTTGAACCATGGTAAGAAATTTGAATTTCACTTGAAACATAAAAAAAAAAAGTTTACCCAAGCTACAGTGTAGAGGAACTTAGAGGCAGAGAGGAGCAGAAGTGGGAGAGGAAGTTAGGTCTCCACTGATGGGGGCCAGGGTGACATAGGAGATGGGGAAAGTGGGTCGATTGCACCTGCTGTGAGAAGGAAATGCTGATGGCCAAAGGGGGTAAAATGGGGAGAAATCACAGGTAGCACCCAGTGGCTTGAGCAGCCAGCAACAGCCAGCAGCCACTTCCCAAGAGGAGAACAGGGGTAGGCCTATGTTGTGGATTTGGCAAATCTGGGGTGCCTGAGGTACACACATGGGGAAGTCAGTGGTCATTTTGTCCTAAATTAGGGGTGGTCCTCATATAGACTTCCTTCAGGGCCTTGAAGAATGGGCACCATTGCTCAGGCAAGGAGACTAGAACGAGGACTCTAGCCTGGGAGAACTGGGCATTCCAGGGGCAGGGGGAGCGAAGAAGGAACATGAACCCTGGACACGCGGTTGGGAGGCTGGGCCCTGTAGGTTCCTGACAACTACCTGCCTCACTCAGTCAGACCTGGGAGCCGCTTTCCATGAAACACCACCTTATTTGGGGGAACCTGTTAGAGGTGACTCCAGTTTTTAAAAATTGACAAATAGCTACTGTGAATTAAATCCAGTATCTCACCATTTATTAGTTTATTGTTAAATACCTATAAATGTCTTTCCATTCAAAATATGCCTATTTTTCTTAGAAGTAATTCTTTTCTATATGTGGGAAAGTATGATAATAAAAGAAATTAAATTAAAATACAAATATGTTTCCACTTAAATGTAAGTTGTATGTTTTTATTACTAATTGATCAATTTTTTCTCTAGAATGGCTTAACAGAAACCCACATAACTAATGGGACTAATGGGTCTTTTTGATTTTATAGAATTATATATAAAAATCTGTGGTTTCACTATCATATATTTATTTTTAATTTAGAAATAAATGCTTCTATGTTCTTAAACCACACACTTGATCTGTAGCTGAAATCTATACACTTCCATTAAGATGTATAGTATGAGCCTATACCAAAGTATTTTGGAGTGCCATAGTATCAGCCATAAAGCTAAAAATGATTCTAAAACCAACATACTTATTGCAAGTTTGATCACTCTTCAGTTTTTGTTAAAAATGATTGCAATATGTCTTTTTAAAATAATGCCCAGCTTCCCACAGTTTTCATGTAGAACAATTTTGAATTCACTGTCATTTATATTCACTGAAAAGAGAATCCTTTTTTTTTTTTCACAGATTCACCAGAATTTTATTATAATGTGGTTTGTTTATTTATTTATTATTTAAATTCAGTTTCATTAACATGTACTGTATTACTACTTTCAGGGGTACAATTTAGTGATTCATCAGTTGCATCTAACACCCAGTGCTCCTTGCATCAAGTGCCCTCCTTAATGCCCATGACCCAGTCACCCCATCTCCTCACCCACCTCCCCTCCAGCAACTGTCAGTTTGTTCCCTATAGTTAAGAGTCTCTTATCTTTCTCTGACTGATTTCACTTAGCATAATACCCTCTAGTTCCATCCATGTCGTTGCAAATGGCAAGATTTCATTCTTTTTGATGGCTGAGTGATATTCCATTGAGAATCCTTTAAAACTATGACTTGACTTTTTTTCCTACAGGATGACTATAAGGATCTTTGCAAATTGTACCTTCTGTTTGAAAGTCAAGCACTTACCTCGTCAACAGAAGAAAAAGCTACAAAATGACATTAAGGAGAATGGTGGAAATTTTTCCTTTTTATTAAATCCTCAGGTATTTGCAAACTTTCTAAGAACTGTGTGATAAATACTGTGCATTAAGGGAGGGTAGGTCAGGGCACTTGGCTGACTCAGTGGGAAGAGCATGCGACTCTTGATCTCGGGGTCTTGAGTTCAGGCCCCATGCTGGGCATAGAGCTTACTTAAAATAATAAATTAATAATTTTTTTTTTAAAGGGAGAGCGGGTCATGGTTAGAAGGGTAAGCAGAGAAAATTAGCCACAGGAGAAAGTCACTGAAGGCAGGTGAAATTGTGACATCGTCAACAGGGAAGTTGAGCTGGAGAAAGGCAGAGGAGGGAAAACCACACGTCTCACCTTCTGTCCATTACACCTTGTGAATCTGAGGTTATTAGAGTACAGCTGAAGACCTAAACAGAAATAATTTCAGACCAGCCAAATCTGTTCTCGAAGGAGAAAAGTAATGGTGTACAGCATTTGCAAAAAGCAGTCTATCTAATCGCTCACCAGTACGTCAACCCTGAGCATCACCTGTACAGTGTGACTCAGGGGACAAAGAAAAACGTGTATCGTGAAGTCATCTTGTACTGCTTGTACAGCTTGTACTGCTTGTTTTGTTTATTTAAAGGCTGAAGGAAGCTACTTTCCCTCTCTTGAAATGAACTGTAAGCCTGACAGGTTAAGCTTGGTGGCTTAGCCTGCCCCTTCCTGGACCACAGCCCTGGGGCTTGCTGACCATGAGTCTGGTTTGTTCTGTGAAGTATGTTCAACTCCAGCTAGATCCTGGGTGCTCTGTGGCATTTAGTAGTTTGCCTGTGATTATCAGAGATGGAATGTCCCTGTTCACCTCCAGTTTAGGCAGAACTGTATATACATCCCTTATTATATGGCTTTCCTCACTTGCCTGTTTCACCATTTCTATGGACGGATGAATAATTCAGGCCAGTTATGCCTTCTCAGTTTATCTTCTGGGTAAAGAATGCCAACATCGTCTCTCATCTTCAGAAATTCCCCCATACTGTGAGTGTATACTTTTTGGAAGTTATGTTGCCAATGTATATAAACTTTTGAAATGTGCATACCAGGTATTATAATGAAGGAGACAGCTATGTATATATTGTTGAGGAATGAGCTCCAAGATGAATTGTTAAGTGGAAAAGCAGGTTCAGAACAGCATGTTTAGTATGCTGCCATTTGTGACTAAAAATAGGGCTGTGTACTTATATGTGTGTTGCCTATGCATAGATTAGCTCTAGAAGGATATTCCAGAAACAAGTTACAACAGATGCCTCTGGGGAGACGAACTGGGAACAATGGTACAAAATGTGTTAATTTATTATTATTATTTTACTTTGTAGATATTCTACAATGTCATATACTATTTATTCCAAAATAGATTAATAAAATTACAACTTAACAAATTTAATAAATAATGAATACCTTTTGAATCTCTTGTTCCACTCCTAAGAAAACAGTTAAACAAGTGTACAAATATGTGTACATGAAGATGTTCAGCACAGCATTGTTTAAAGGAGTGAAAATTTAGAAATAACCTCTAGGGTTCGTTAATCAATTATGGTATATCCCTATCCATATTCTTTAAAAACTGTTGATTTTTTAAACTTTTATTTAACTAAAATTATATTATTTTTAAGAGTTTTAGAAATCTGAGAAAGATTACTATCAAGACTTTTAAGGGTGGGCATTCTAGGGGAAGGAGGCAAGATGGCAACAGAATAGGGACCTCGTTTTATCTGGTCCCTCGAATTTAGCTGGGTATCTATGAAACCATTCTGAACACACACAGATTCAGCCTGAGATGTAAGAAAATATATCTGCAACTCTACAAGCAGAAAAACGATTGCTTTTTGCAAGGTAGGAGGTGTGGAATCGTGAATCTGTGGGGAAATATCTGAAGATAAACAGAGTGGGGAGGGACCCTCCATAAGCCAGCGGCCAGAAAGTGACATAACGCTGGAGTGCAAAATCAGAACCCTTAGAAATCTGTTCCAGTGAGAGACATCCCTTTCTTAAAGGGGCGCAGGGGATGAAAAGAGCAGAATTCTAGGTGGGTCATTGTGGTCTCAGGATCCCAGGAAACACAGAAAGAATGGGGGCACCTGATCCGATAGAGTGCCCAAGCAGTGGAGCAGGGAAACCGGTTATGGTCAGCGAGCCCAGAAGGGACTCTCAGCTCCTGTCACCATAAACCATGAGCCGGGCCGGTAGGGAGACTGCTCTTTTCCTGAGCACCCTGAAAAGGATTGGAACATGCGGGCTGTTTAACATCCCCTGGGAGAGACAAAATGGCTGTGCCCACGACTGGGCAACAGCTCTCAGGATGGCGGTGGCCCCAGAAAGGAGAGTAGGATGGCATCCAGCTATTACCTGGGAGCAATGGAGAAGGGTCCATGCGTGAGCCCACAACCACTCACAGTCGCAAAGACACAAAGTGCAGTGAGGCTCTCGGGCCCCTGGGACGCCCCCTGGGAGAATTGAAGTGGGCACGAATCGCCAGATTGTGTGGGGTGTGGCACACAGAGAGGCTGTGCCCACAACTGGGCAACAGCTCTCAGGGCAGCAATGGCCCCAGAAAGGACAGTAGGACAGCACCCAGCTGTGACCTGGGAGCAGTGGAGCAGGGTGTGCATGAGCCCACAACCGCTTGCAGTCGCAAAGACACAAAGCGAAGTGTCACTCTTGGGCACCAGGGATGCCCCCCGGGAGAATTGCGGTGGGGGTGAACTACGGAGTCTATAGGTTTGGTGCACACAGAAGTGGAGATGGTTTGACCTGGAGGGTTTATTGAAGAAGGGGGACCATGATCTTGCAGTTCTGGGCCAGAGATCCCGGCATGGCCATTTTTGCTCTGACCCTCTGAAGAAGTGCGGAAAGCCACCAGGGAACAAAAGCCACATGGACGACCAGCTCACCTTGAGCCCATCCCCCTGACAAGGGGTGGGGCAACTCCGCCCAGACAAAGACACCTGAGAAGCAGAACAACAGGCCCCTCCCCCAGAAGACAGACCTAAGAACAGGTGGATAACAAGCTTATAGATCCCACAGGACTTTAAAACCCCAGAGCCAGGGGAAAATAATATATTGAGCTCCAGGTGTTTCCCCATGACCCATTTATCCTTCAGTCTAAAATTTTACATTTCTTTTTTTTTTTAATCTTTTCCCCATTTCAACTAGATTCTTATTTTACCAACTTATGTCTTTAAGTTGCTTTTTAACTTTTTTTCTCACATCTACATTTTATAGATTTATGCCTCATTCTAGTCCTTTTTTCACTCTATCCAATTTTATATATGTATATAAACTTTGCTTTCCTTGCAATTTTGGGATGTAGTGTCTTCTAACACAGAGACCAAAATTCAATCAGGAACAAGAAGATCACCTGCTTTGTCCACCCTGTGAGATTATAGTCTCTCTCCACCACCCCTTTTTTTTATTGTTTTGGTTCATCTTGCTTTGTTTGCTTTTCTTTGGTGGTGTCTGACCTCTTCAGATTTTTTCTAGGGTGCATCTTGCTTGGGTCGTGGTTGCTATTCTGGACCCTGTTCATTCACTCACCCATCCTTCCTTGGGCAGGATGACTAGAAGGAAGAACTCACAACAAAGGAAAGAACCAGAGACAATGTTCTGTGCCACAAAGCTAATCAATATGGATATAAGCAAGATGTCGGAGATAGAATTCAGGATAGCAATTACAAAGTTAAGCGCTAGGCTTGAAGAAAGCATAAATGACTATACAGAATCTCTAAGGGCGGAAGTGAGATCTAATCAGGCCGAACTTAAAAATGCTATGAATGAGATGCAGTCTAAATTGGATGCTCTACCAACTAGGGTCAGTGAGGCAGAAGAGAGAATAAGTGATCTAGAGGACAGACTGATGGAAAGGAAGGAAGTTGAGGAAAAGAGAGAAAAACAACTAATAGCCCATGAAGAAAGGCTTTGAGAATTTAATCACAGAGCGGGAACAAACAATCCTAAAATTTGTGTGGAATAAGAAAAGACCCCAAATAGCTGCAGTAATGTTGAAAAAGAAAACCAAAGCTGGAGGCATCACAATTATGGAGTTCAAGCTGTATTACAAAGCTGTAATCATCAAGACAGTATGGTACTGGCACAAAAACAGACATGTAGCTCAATGGACCAGAATAGAGAGCCCAGAAATGGACCTTCAACTCTATGGTCAACTAATCTTTAACAAAGCAGGAAGGAATATCCGATGGAAAAAGACAGTCTCTTCAATAAATGGTGCTGGGAAAATTGGACAGCCACATGCAGAAGAATGAAACTGGACCATTCTCTTACACCATACACAGAGATGAACTCAAAATGGATGAAAGACCTAAATGTGAGACAGGAATCCATCAAAATCCTAGAGGAAAACAACAAGTGTTAGTGAGGATGTGGAGAAAGGGGAACCCTCTTACACTGTTGGTGGGAATGCAAGCTGGTGCAGCCACTCTGGAAAACAGTGTGGAGGTTTCTCAAGAAGTTAAAAATAGAGCTACCCTATGACCCAGCAATTGCACTACTGGGTATTTACCCCAAAGATATAGATGTAGTGAAAAGAAGGGGCACATGCACCCCAATGTTCATAGAAGCAATGTCCGCAATAGCGAAACTGTGGAAGGAGCCAAGATGTCTTTCAACAGATGAATGGATAAAGAAGATGTGGTTCATATATACAATGGAATATTACTCAGCCATCAGAAAGGATGAATACCCAACTTTTACATCAACATGGATGGGACTAGAGGAGATTATGCTAAGTGAATTAAGTCAAGCAGAGAAAGACCATTATCATATAGTCTTACTAATATGTGGAACATAAGGAATAGTGTGAAGGACCATAGGGGGAGGGAGGAAAACTGAAGGAAGAGATCGGAGAGGGAGACGAACCATGAGAGACTCTGGACTCTGGGAAACAAATTGAGGGTTGCAGAAGGGAGGGTGGGCAGATGGGGTAACTGAGTGATGGGCATTAAGGAGGGCACGTTATCTGATGAGAAGTGGGTGTTATACACAACTAATGAATCATTGAACTACATCAAAAACTAATGATGTACTATATGTTGGCTAATTGAACTTAATAAAAGAAAGACTTTTACGGTTGAAAATTACAGATGCAAGTAATTTCTTTAGATTTTGTTTTTACAAGTACTTAATGAATTGATTCTTTTTTTTTTCTAAGTGCACACATATAATCTTAGACAATGCTGATGTTCTGAGCCAGTATCAACTGAAGTCTATCCAAAAGAACCATATCCATATTATAAATCCAGATTTTATATGGAACTCTATCAAAGAAAGGAGGCTCTTGGACATAATGAATTATGATCCTAATAAGGCAGTGGACATCACACCACCTCCTTGTCAAAAGACAAGCAGTTCTGGTAAGTATTTTATATCAAGTACTTAATATATTACAGGTGCTATAGTAAACATTTTGGTTTATCAAAGGCAGTCAAAGGATTGTCTAGACATATTACAAAAATTATTAAACTTCTTATCTCAGAAAATGGGCAGCCAAATAGTGAAGGACAAAAACTACTTTAGCAATAGGAATAGATTTCTCAATATCCAATCTAGTATGATCAGATTCAAAAAGACTACAAGAACACTGATAATCTCAGAAAACCTGATGTGTAACTTTATCTGGGAGGGAGAAGAAACTTTGTGTTAAAAAATTATCACCACAACTTAATGACTGGAAATTTTATGACTAGCCTTTTGCTAAAGAAGTTCTTTCCCAAAGATGATCTCTCAAAAAGAAACATACCTCCTTTGTAAACCCAGATTTTATTTTGGAATCTGGCCAAGAAGCAAGCCTTTGGATATAGGGAAATGCCCTCCTCATGAGACATATCAAAAGTGAAGCAATTCTGATAAATAATAATCTACAGTAAGCACCTGATATATGTTAGGTATCATATTGTATATACAAATTGTATTATTTATAGGAGTTTTAGAAATCAATGTTTTGGTGTGGTGCAGCCTCTTTAGACAAATGATTGTCCAAAAATGCTGTCATCAGACTTTCTTGCTCTCAGAAAATGGTAGCTAAAACAAAATAGGCAGGATAGTAAACTTCTTTTACATTGAAAATGTTTTTCAACATCCAGAGTGATACAGTCAGATTCAGAATTACTGCAAATACATTGACACCCTTTGAAATTTTGATAGCATAATTAAAACTGGAAAGAAATTCTTGCATAAAAGGAGTTATTCCTATATATCATAATGCTATAGACAGTGTTATGCTTCTCTTATAAGAAAAATATGAAGCAAAAATTGCTTGGCTTCACATAGGAACCCTCAAATTTCCCTCCTCTAAGCAAGAACATCCTCAGGTCCTTCATTTGTGACATGATGGCACTGGGGAACTCATTCTGACCCTGCAGCATACTAGAAATGCATTTCATAACTATGCTCACCATAATCTTCTGAAGAGAAAAATTCCATTTGAAATTGAATATCCATCAATGAGTTTCAAATAATACAGATAACATTAGAATTCTCCTCACACGCCTATTAAAATAGAATTATAATATATTCTTACTATCTTTTACTTTTAATTTACCTTCTTCTTGTCCCACTTGTACTATCCTTAGATCACCAATTACTATAGCTAATTTAAGGACATCTTTAAAAAAAGAAAAGAATAGTATGGTAAGTATGACCTATATTCAAGAATCTTAAAAATTCCAGGACTTATTGTTAATAATTTTAATAAATGTTTGAGTAGTAAACAAGTGTTTTGTTTTTGTTCTAGAGGTGACAACAGATGATCCATCCCTGGACGACTCCATGGAGAAGGAAAACATTGTGGAATTCACAGAGTAATCTACTTTTATTTTTTAAAAGATTTTATTTATTTATTTGTTAGAGAGAGAGCACAGGCAAGGGGAGCGGCAGACAGAGGGAGAAGTAGGCTCCCTGCTGAGCAAGGAGCCTGATGCAGGACTCTATCTCAGGACCCTAGGATCATGACCTGAGCTGAAGGCAGATGCTTAACTGAGCCACCCAGGTGTCCCCGGAGTAATATACTTCTGATCATTAAGACTCAGTTTGCAAAATGTTTTGTAAACCTCAAGCACAGGTTTTTTTGTTTTGTTTTGTTTTTTAAGATTTTATTTATTTATTTGAGAGGGAGACAGAGAGTACAAGCAGGATGAAGGGCAGAGGGAGAGGGAAGGGGACAAGCAGACTCCCCGATAAGCGGGGAGCCCAATGTGGGGCTTGATCCCATGACTCTTGAGATGACCACCTGAGCTGAAGTCAGACAGTCAAACACAGTTTTAAAATGCTATTAATACATCATGTTTTTTGTACTTTTTTCATTTATTCTAGGCTTTTATTTATTTAAGACTTTTTACTTCAACTAGTATAGTGATAATTATTTCCATGTTAGTATTATATAAGAGTGAACATAATTAGATTGTTAGATTGATTTTAAAAAAGAAAAGGCACTGGAGATGAGATCTGGGCAGTCTGCTTACCCTGCTACCTTACCGAGAAGCCTTTAGACTTGAGACTGTTCTTCCTACCTAATAGGTCAAAAAATGGAAATAGTGACAACTTCTGCAAATGGAGTATGTGAGGCTACATTTCTATATGGCTTCGTAAAGCATACCCAAAAGTGTAGTGTCATTAAGCATCACATTGAGCCTTATTTTATTTGTTAATAGTAGTGTTAAAAGACAGAACAAATATCAAAAATAAAAGTACAGATTATGAGAAATCTGACACCTTTGTTTTAAAGGGGGTTGACTGTAGTATGAGAGTCTCTGGTGTGAGCCTGTGTGAGTGACCCAGCTTCTAAGGATCAGAACCCAAGAAAGCGCAGGTCACTTGCCTCTGCTAGGATCGGTGCTTTCTCCAGTGCCCTGGCCTGCTTCTCTTATGCCTCTGCTTCTGCTTCATGCCACCCCACCTTCCAGTGCAGACACTCAGTATTTGGCATCAGAGCTCTAGAGTTATGCAGGGGAGGAATCCAGCTCATTACATGAGACTTTTTAACCATTTTCAGAACCTCGGAGGAGATTAGGGACTTAAAATGTATTTTGTATGCAATTAGGAGACTTCTAAGAAATATTTTATGAAAATTCTGTTTCGTCTAAAAGTCCATTTTAATGTTAAAATTTTATTATACAAATTTCAGGTTTTATAAAGACATTGTTGAAATTCCTCGTTTTCCACAAGACTTTGAAGTTGCAAAATATAACACCTTGGAAAAAGTAAGAGTCTGTATTAAAAAACAAAAACAAACCGAGTGTCTTCTGATTATTTTTCCTGCTTGATAATTTTCTCGTTGTTTTGGAAAATTGTGCATATCCTGAATAAATATTTCTTAATATAAAAGTTGATTTTTAATAATCAAGACAATTTTATATTTAAAATTTAATATTTAACTTTTTAGTGTTTTTATTATAAAAGTAATACATGCTCATAATAAAAATATAAACAGTACAAAATAATAACATGACTTTAAAAGTAAAGACCTCCTCCCTGTTTATTAATGGGTTCTTGTATTTTTAAGAGTAGTATTTACATTTGACAACAAGTTATTTACATCATGCTGAATTTCCATTACTATTCATTAAAAAGAAAAAGAGGAAGTTATTTCTCCAGTATCATATAAGGGAAAACCCTAGCATTCAAAATTATGCTCCATTTGTATATTTTAGATATTTTAATAAAATATAACTTGGAAATAACATTTCCTCTGTGACAAAGAAAATATAAAAAGTGGTACAGTTTAAACATACACAGATATATCTATAGTAAAAATACCAACAAGAAATATACCAAAATATTAATAGTAATTATATATCTGTAGTATGACTTCAGGTAATTTTTATATTTTCTTTATACTTGCTGTATTTTCCAAATTATATCTCCAAATGAACTAGTGTTAGTTTTTTTTTTTTAAAGATTTTATTTATTTATTTGAGAGAGAGAATGAGAGAGAGAGAGAGAGCATGAGAGGGGGGAGGGTCAGAGGGAGAAGCAG